TTCTCCTCCATTGAGCATCCATGTTCATCTCGTCGATCCATCATTTACAAAGCTTCGTCAACGGTCATTTTCTAGAGAGCGAAAAAAAATTGTAGGGTGGGTATAGTTTCAATCACTACCAAATGAGAGTATATGAGCTTATATATTTGTACTCATTTGATTAATCAATGGACAAGGTTTTCTTCTCTGTTATCAGGAATACCTTTAAATTTGTATATCTATATTTTGCTATGAATATGTAATATTTTTGTAGACATAATGATGTATGATATAGATGACTTTGATTAAAAGGATGTCGATGTATGAATATGGGGTTTCACTAAAAACTTTTGAAATATTTTGAAAGTTTTTGTGTAAAAATGGTCATTTGTTGTTGGTTCTTTGATTGATGAAGAAAATGAGAAAAAATCCCAATTTTTTTTTTATAAAACCCTACTTTGTGATTTTGGGTTTAAAGGAAAGATTTGAAAACAAATGGATATTGTGATGAAATAGAGTTGATGCTATGTTGATACACTTGGAAATCTTATGAGGATATGAATTTTGGGGATTTTATTGTCATGATGAATGATTATGGAAGCTTTTGGAAATTATATGATTGTGATTCATTTTCTCTATGGATTAAAATGTTTATTTCTTATGAAATTAAATGGAACTCTAGGCAAATTGTTAAATTTTGCAAACTCATGCATCATATTGCATTTCATGGTTTTGAACTCTTATTGGTCCATTGTTTTGAATGTTGGAATATTGGAAAAGGGGAAAACGACATAGTAATCTGGGTAGTGAGTTAGTTTTTGAAATATGTGTTGAGTATTGTATTGATACCTACACGGGGAGTCAAGGTGCCCAATTATCCTATCACGTGCTTGATGCCAGATAAATGTGGGAAATGATGTTTTCAAGGTGCTCAATTGCCTTTCTGTGCTTATTGTCGAAAAATATGAGAAAATGTTTGTTTTAGGTACCCAACTGCCCTTTTGTGCTTGATGCTAGCAAATATGAGACTATTTTGATATATATATATATATGGCTCATACTTTGGGGTTCTAGTGCGTGTTTACCACCCCGTACTTAATATTGGTTTGTTTTGAATAAAGGTGCATTGATGTATCATTCTTTTGCATAGAACAAAAAGATGAATTTTGGGCATGACATTGCATTAACATGATCATACTTATATTAAATGTTTATATATCTCGTTAAATGTATTTCTATTAGGCAATTTTGATCATTCTATCATAATTAACACTTTCAGGCCAAGATGATAGAGTTCTACCATGTTGACTAGATAATGGGGATATTTGGCGGAGCATGGACGCTCGTTTTGATGTACTATTCGCGATATAACTACCAGCTAACTTGTCTGGATAGTATTCTATTTTGTGTAATTAAGACCTTTGTCTCGAAAGATGTAAGCAATTAGGGTATCCTTATTGAATCTCTCTCTAACTCATTTTTTTTTTTGAACGCATCTCTCTCTAACTCTTTGAACTACTAGTGTAATTATTTGTATTTTGGAAAGTTATTAATATATTGTGGACATGTAATTTTTTGAGAAGTTCAAGAAGAAAGAGAAGTATTTTTAGATCATCGCATTGACGCATTCTATTTATACCTTTATTAAACACTAACTTCTATTATGAAATGAAAATAAAAATAAAAGGGTTGATAGTTATAAATGATTAAAATATCGAGGCGTTACAATGAGAGAAGCCCAACCTAAATTATTATAGAATTGGACTATCTCCAGTCTAGTCATTAAATTAGACAATCCAGTTTGGTCCATTTTGGGTCCTTCTCGATAATCTAAACCGTTGAATGTGTAGAACTTGGCGAGTATTTCATCTTTGCAAAAAATCACATTGATTAGATATCAATAACAGCTTGATCATATCATATTTGTGTTAACAATTTATTTTTAAAATTATACTTACCATTGACACAAACATAATATCATCAAGTAGCTATTAATATTTGATCAACGTGAGTTTTTGTAAGGATGAAGTACTCGACGATTTTTACATATTTGATGGTTTGAATCATCGATGCAATCTCTGTGGTAGGCTTACGAAGGCCCAACAACACCCTCCAGTCTGATATAGGCGGGAGAGAAGCCATCTCTATTATTATAATGTGTATAACTTGGTGTGAATCACTTTGCTTAACCATGAATAGATGATTTTACTGTCAAAAACCATTTTAATTTAGGGCTAATTTCCTTTCAATCCAAGATTTGGATTGATGGTATTGTTTAGATCTATAAAGTTTATTATAGATTTCATTTTGATAATTCGAACTATTTATTTTATAAGATTTTTTGTGAATATTATCTACACACAAAATTAGACCGACTTGATAATTGTAACATATTCAATTTATTGTATTTGTCTCAAAAAAATAGACGGTAAATATATTTTTGAAAATAATTTTTTTATATTTTCAGTGATAAGCCCTATAAATTGAATACATTATAATTATCAGATCGACCTAATTTTTTATTTAAACAATATACACAATTTTTTTTACAAAAATGAAACTCATTATAAATTCCAAAAGTCCAGGCAGTACCTCATAGTCCAAGGGGCAATCGTTGATTTAAACTAAGAAGTTGCTTCGTAGAAAGCCAACTAATCAACACTTTGGATTCAAATTTCAAAGCACGAAAATGGATTATGAATGTACCAAAAGAGATTGTAAGAGAGAATGAAGTCATTGTGTGCTGTTTAAGTTTTCAAACTTTTCCATGCTTCAAACCTCCTTAGGCTACATTTGAGAAGGAGGTTTGGGGTTATTTTAATCACAAAAAATAAAATAATTTATTTTAGTTATAATAAATAAAACATCATATTTAATTCATAATCATTATATTTTTCTTTCACAAAAAAAATTAAAAAAGTCAAAAATTTAAAAAGTCCTTCCTAATCTAAATTTTTTAATCCAGACTAAAATAACTAAAAAATCAAAAAGTCAAAAAGTCAACACATTTTTCAGACGGCGGCCAATAATCTTTGGTTTAAACTAAAGTAAAAAAGTAAAAATCTACCAAATCAATTGGAATTTAATGCACTTGTAGCAAGAATTCAAATTCATGATCATTACTATTTGGAATTTAAGAGATTATTTGGGAAGTACATGTTTAATATATTTTTTAATTTTTTATCAAGATGTATAAAATACGAATTGAGATGGAAGTGGTTTGATAGAGATGTAATATGATTCAAATAATAAGTAATATGATTTAAATAAATAAAATGATTGTGATACAAATAAAAAAATGTACTAAAATAATATATATTATTTTAATACATGTCAAACAAACCATTAGATTTGTATAAAAATTTAGTAAATTTGTATTTACCTCACTTGAGATTTAGATAAAATATAGTTAATCTTATACTTTAAAAATATAGTTAATTTTATACTTTAAAAATATAGTTAATCTTACACTCTTTAAAAAAGCCAAAAAGAAAAGATATGTTCTACTAAAATATTTTTCATTCGTTAGTCGTATGAATAAATTTTTTTTTTGTCAATCGATAAGAGAGTAATTGCAAGGGTGAAGTACCAATAAATTTTAAATAGTAATTTTTAAAACTGCTATTGGTTCTTTATTTTTTCTTATAGACCCAAAGGTCCCATTCTAATGTGAATTACACAAATAGATAAGCATAAACATGCGTGTTATGTGTTGAAGTATAAATGTGAATTTTCTCAGAATGTTGAAATTATTAAACGTAACACTCTAAAAAAAACTCTTTTAGTGTATTTTTCTCAAACGTAACACTCTAATGTAACATTCTAAAAACATAACACTCCAATGTAACATACTAAAAAAAATTTTAGTATATTTTTCTCAAACATAACACTCCAATGTAACATTCTAAAACGTAATATTCTAATGTAACACACTAAAAAATTTCTTCGTGTACTTTTCTCAAACGTAACAATGTAACATTCCAAAAAGAACTTTTAATATATTTTTTTTTTCAAATGTAACACTCCAATCAATGTAACATGTAAAAGTTTATTTTTTTTTGAACGTAACACTCCAATGTAACACATTAAAAAATTTTTCAGTATATTTTTCTCAAATGTAACAACGTAATATTTCTAAAAAATTTCTTAATGTACTTTTCTTAAACGTAACAACATAATATTTCTAAAAAATTTCTTAGTGTACTTTTTTCAAATATAATAACGTAATATTTCTAAAAAAATTTTTAGTGTATTTTTTTCAAACGTAACACTCCAATCAATATAACACATAAAAATTTTTTGGTGTATTTTTTTCAAATGTAGTATTCTAATGTAACACCAGAAAATCACACTAATATTATTGTAGATTTCCATATTTGACAACTAACATTTCAGCCATCAATCATTCCAAAAAGAATCTTTCATATCTCACATTTTTATTCTTATCCCAAAAACGAAACAGAAAATTAAAAAAAAAATTACAAAAAAGCATTCACGTAAATTCAAATGGCTACAAATCAATTAAATATAACTTTTCAAAATAAAAACAAATAATTGATTTATAAGAAATTTTTTAAGATTAATATTATCCACATAATTAGGCCAAGTTTGGAAAGACTAAATAAGTGCATTTTTTGACTTTTTTTTGTATTATGTGTAGAAAAAGTAGAAAGGAGATGTTGATTGATGTGACCCAAAAAAGATAAAAAGATGAAATAAGTGTACTTTTTTAGGTTAACCAAACTTGACCTTACTAGTATGAAAAATGTCTAATTAAAAAAAATTACATTAAACTAGTTCAAATTATCCAATCCCCATAAATTAATATCACAGTCAAATCCGATCATGGTAATCTCAGGTATTATTTGTCACTTTTGACAACATTTGACCAATTAATATTACTCCATATTTGCATCATAAATGAGGTGGCGCGTGCCACACAATCTCCATGCAATGCGCGTATCATTAACATACCACGTTTGAGGCAGAGTCTCTCAGGGACCTTTTCGTGTAAACAAAACTACTCCAAAAACTCCTCTCATTTCCGTCTCCGTCAGAGAGAGATTTCAGACTCCCCCCGAACTCCGACTCTCTCTCTCTCTCTCTCTCTCTCTACGCCTGCAATGCGTACAGCTCTCTTCTCTGTCCTGGTTCTCGATCTCCTCTGCTTTCTCTCTCTACCATATCGCTCCTTCTCTCTCGTAGCCGCTGATTATTCGAACCCTCTCTTGGACGCCAATGTCACCGCCGCAGAATCCAACACCTCGAGATCTAAGGAAGATAGCTTCGCCGACATCATCGATCGGGCTCTAGAAAAGGAGTTCACCGAGAACGACGACCAGTCTCAAGGTTTGCTTAGATCTGAGCTCTCTCTTCTTTCACGTTTAGGTGGTTTTGTCACCTAGGGCTTTGCATTTTTAGAAATTTTTCACTGTTCAGAACTCGACTTCAAAATTGATGACTGTGTGATGTATATAATTCACTTCAATTAAGCATCTGTAGGTAGTATTATTACTATTTGACATCTAATTGACAAGTTTTTCGATCTTATGGCGCTAAAATTTTAAATGAAACTTACAGTTTGTGTTGGTTAATTATATAAGCATAAACACACATATGGCAAGATTAGATAGAAAATATTGGGAGAAATGAAAGCATATCCACTAAGAGAAATGAAAATTTTAGTTTAATTACCTAGACTTTCCATTATCGCGTTCCATTTTTGCGAACCTGACAAGCTTCACGGTGTTATGGTGCCAAAACAACAATGCCCGATTAATACACATTAATGTGTGTTTGGAGGAAAAAAATTGAGTAAACACCTAACTTTTGACATAATACACAAAGTGGTGGCACAAAGTGGTGGCAAGTGGTGGCCCAAAGACTTGAACCCATAATCTTAAGGTTATTAGGCCAAGTTTTAAGCGTTGAACCAATGTTAGTTAGGCCTTGGTTGGGAATAAATTATTTTAGTAACTTTTTAGTTTTTTGGTTAAAATATGAAGTAAAAAAAATTAGTATGTTTGGAATGACTTTTTGATTTTTTACAAAAAGATGTGCAAAAAGTAAAAAGAAAAAAAAAAAAAAAGAAATCTTTTGGCTTTTTTGTTTAAGTTATAAGTTTTTTGATTTTTTTTAGTAACTTTTTTATTTTTAGACTAAAAGCGTTGCATGCCAAACGAGGCTTACTGTTGGTCAATTATGTAAGCATAAACGCTCACATGGCAAAATTAGATAGAAGATACTGGGAAAATGAAAGCATATCTACCAAGGACAACATTGCAAACTTTTCTTCATCGCGTTCAACTATTGCACTGATTCATTTACCTAAGCAAATAAGAAATGAAAAAACAGATGCTAGGTTTAGTTTTCTTATAGAGAAGTGGAGAGAAAAGGGAAGAAATTTAAGGGTTGGCTAGGATTTTGTTTTAAGTAGTTTTACACCTTGAGGTGAAATGTTATACTTCTCTCTATGTCTCCAAATCACCTCCATTTTTGAGGGGGTAGTTTTGTTGAACACAAAAGCATAATCTCTTCATTTCTCTTCTTACTAAATGAAGCAAACAGTGGAGAGGAGAATGTTCTTAGAAATTTGCGTTCTCTCTCTAACCATATAGTATGTATATGTTTATATATTTTTTTAATTTAGTTCATTGTTTTTAGTTTATTCGTTTGGCAATGGATTTTTTGGCTGAAAAAGCCTAAAAGTCACAAAAAGTCAAAAAACTAAAATGTCATATCTTACACATCAATCAGTCACTTTTTCACTCACAACTATCTATTCAACTAAAAATAATTCCAAACACATTAACTTTTTGCACCTCGTAAAAAAGCCAAAAGGCTACTAAAAAAAATCAAGTTTTCAAACGGGGCCACATGTTTACAAATGGCTAATTATGCTGTGATACTTTGTTGGCTTCTAGTAAATTTTATTTTTCTATTGTTTACACTGGTTGACAGAAGTTAAAAGTAATATTGCTGATTATAGTTTCCCTATTTCTTATCCAAGAAATGGCCCTGACTCTTTCTCTTGCAGCTACTGATCCTGGGAGCTTCAACAACAGTGTGGCTGATCAACAGGTTGGCAGTGGTCTTCTTTTTAATATTTGTGAACATTGTAAGCTGACTTTTTGTGTGAGTAACTTGGAAATGTAAGGACAACAAATGTGGAAAGCCAACCCTTTTGTGTCTAGGGGGACATATCTAATTTGGTGCTCTCTCTCTCTCTCTCTCTCATTTATTCTTTTTCATAACTGTACTTGAACTTCCAAACTATGCTAAGATGAAATGTAGACAGTGCTGCAGTTATTTTGTAGAAGAGATTTGGTAAGATTTTAGTCTAAGAAGTTTAGACACTTTTTAAAAGGTGTTGTGTCTACGTCCAATTTCAATACTTGTTAGATACTCCCCGACCTGTGCTGTTATAGATCAGAAGCTCAAGGATGCTTATAAATTGCTGAAACTTTAGTAAGAAACTTTAAATGAATAAATTACATAGTAGACTTTAATTGTAACTTCATACAGTTTACTTTTTCTTTGTATAGTGTAACAAAAGCCATCCTTGTGGAGTAGAAATATCAAACATCGATAGCCTAGTGACTTACATTTGTTGTACACCAACAACAGAAGGAGATGTCATTGTTTATAAAAAAAGGGGAAATGAATAGAGGACAAGAATTCCTCTTCAATGCCGTTACACCAAACCAGAAAACATCTATACATCACAAACCGCTTTCTAGTTTTTAGAAATTAAAAAAGGCGAGATCCCTTTGAATAAAGGGAAGATAGATGTCCAAAACGACGCAAAATGACACTTTATCTCACAACGACTCAACATCCTCAAACTTGTCCTAAAAAAATTATTGTATTCCTTTCCAGTGATATGCCCCTAAAAATTGCAAATACGACACATTGCCACAGCACTTTGCTCTCTCCTTGAAACCAAATCCTTGAAACTCCATTAGAAGCATTTGAGCGCATTAACTTGGGGGCACCCAATGAATGCTTGCCAGTAAAAATAGACATTGCCATTGCCATTGCCATTGCCATTGCCATTTTAATGCTACTGTAATTGGGCAATGTAAGAAGAGATGATTCAAAGATTCCCTATTCTGCCTACAAAAAATGCACCATTGAGAACAAAGACAACGATTAGGCCTCCCTACTTGATATGTGTCATTAGTCAAAATGCTTCCATGAACCAAGGATCACATAAAAAACATGCATTTTGAACATCATGGTACATGTCTGTGTAATTTAGCTCCAAACATTTTTCTTACTTTTTTCCTTACGAGAAAAAGTAAAAAAATATCAAATATAATGAATTAGAACCTAGGAAGAGAGTTTGGTTTGGATTAAATCTTTAAAAAGGTCCGTAATGCATTATAGCTCTACTTATAAAGATATACTTCGTAATATTTTTTAAATGATCAATTTAAATATACAAAATATGTTAAAACTAAGTAGAAATGCAGTTTAATAGATATTCTTTCAGTATATGTCCAATTATTTATGGTATCACTGTCTAGGAGTATTTTAATACATTCTAATTGTGTAATCTATACAAGTCTATCCGTATAATACCCTGTTCTAGAGCATGTGGTGTACTATATATCTACTCAATTTTTGCATACTGAAATGATCCGTGTTTGAGGTACTAAAATTGGTCAATTCCTAGCTTACAAATGTCTCAAGTGATCCTTCATTTCATTCAACAAAGTTTTAAATCTCAACCACATGGGATTGGCTAAAAGAAATACTCATCTTTTACGTTTTGTTTGATAACTGAAAATGAAAAATATTTTGTTTTCTATTGTGGCTCTCTTAGTTGTCATAAAAATTTGCTTAACGTAGGTTATCATGTTCTTCTTGCTACATTTTCTTCCTCTCTTCTGGTCACATTGTCATTCCTGTAGCCTCAAACCAACAACTGTACGCTTTGCATGCCACTCTCCTACAAGTTCATTTGCGAGCTGGTGTGTACAGGAAAAATTGACCTTTTTGGTATCTTCAAGTTGTAATAAATGACTGCTTGTTAATGTGATTATTGGACTGTTTCACATGGTGATATTACCTTGGATGAGATTTCGTTATATCAGCGTCCTAAATATGCCTTATATGGAGTTTTTATTCATTACTTGAGCAAACTCCTGCTGTGTTGTATTTTGCTGGATAATACTTTTTGGATATTTTTAATTTCATCAGGCGGTTTTGGAAACTGTTGCTAGAGTTAAGTCCAAGAAAAATGAGACCAAGGAGGAGAAGTAAGTGTTTCTATCCTGTGAATGGAATAACAGATTGTTTAGAATTTATGTTCAATGGAAGTAGTTGATCAAGGAAGTATATAAATTTTCGCTGATATCTTTTTGAGTTGTATGCTAGGTCATTTCAACTTCATGATGTTTTCAATTTGGATAATGAGAATCGAGCAGAAGATATGCCAACATTGATAGATCGGAAGGTATTCCTTATACACATCGTTGGATAATTTGTATAAAATTTCTTTTGTAAATGCACTATTATTGTAATGAGATCATTCTGTGTTACATTAGTCAAGTTCAAAGCTGTTCAAGTACTGATCCAATTGTTGGATTTTTTTTTTGTGCTCAGGATAATGTCTTTATCATATCAAATCTCAAGTCAAAGTATCCAGTGCTACAGTTAGACTTAAGGTTAAGCTTAATCTTTTTCTGTCACCCTCTCTCCAAAATTATCCAGTGCTACCAGTGATTTGTTGGCTGATCCAAAATGTTCAAAAAACTAATTGGCAGGTTAATATCTGATCTTGTAGTCGTCATTGTTTCTGCAACATGTGGTGGTATTGCGTTTGCTTGTGCCGGACAACCGGTTGGTCTCTTATTCTTGCTTTATGCTGTTTTCGTGATGAACTATTATTTTGCCGAATGAATATACTTATTTTAATTCTCTCTCTCTCTCTCTCTCTCTCTCTCTCCTTTTTCTTTGTTTTGGGGGGTTATGTTGATGATACATTCTTTGAATTTATTTTGTGCTTCTAGACGTGGATTGTTTAATTAACCTCAAAGATCACTGTTTAAACTTTGGGGTGTCTTTTGTGTGTTCTTAAATTTTGCAGGTTATTACTGGATATTTGCTAGCTGGATCTGTTATTGGACCTGGGGGCTTTAGTTTTGTTAGTGAAATGGTGCAAGTATGTTGCTTTTATATCTATTATGCACAATAACTAGCCTGCATATTTGGTTCAATTTTTAAAATATCTGTTTGATCAAATTAGAATTTCAATACAATCATGTGGATATTTCAGAGTGCAGCTTAGGTCACATGATTCTTAAACAAATCGTCTAAGAGGCGGACCCTTGAAACTCCATTAGAAGCATTGACACGATACAGGCATGACGACATAGAAATTTTCAAAATATATGACACGTAGGGAACACATGCAAAATATATAATTTATTTAATATATGTCATATATAAGGATTAATAATTATTATTTCATATATAAATATGAATATTTTAGTCAACTACAATAATTTTTTTAGTCTAAAAAGGAGTAGAATAGGTACAAGTTTATGTTGTTTTGGTTTTATCATTGGATTCCAAGTTATTTTATTCAGACTTATAATGTAATGTATTTTATGTGTGTCCAAGTGTTTAGAAGTGTTCGATGAGTTGTGTGTCATGTCGTGTCGGTGTCCGACAACGTTACCTTCTTAGAAGTGTCGGTGCTTCTTAGCAAGTCGTACACATTGTGATTGCTTGGAAATTTGGGTATGTGTAAAGCTGCTAGATCAAATCCGAGTTGGGTGTTTAAACCCATACTTTTGTGGATGATGTCATGTAGTTAGCCTCTGATATACATATTATCCATGTTATTAGTGTTGCAGAGCAAACTTCTTCTCAGTGGGTTTCTTCCAAAATTGGGGGAAGAGGATTGCAAAACATGTTAGCAATGAATGCTCAATAGTTGTGGTTGTATTTTCTGAATTGTGATGTGGTCATGATATACAGCTTTTAGACTGAGATTCCATGCTTTTTTTTTTTAAAAATTATTTATTTATAGATTTTCTATTCTCATATATATATTTTTTGTCATCTTATATGACATAATGTTGTGCTTTCAACTTCTCATTGATATTGTAGGTCGAAACAGTAGCTCAGTTTGGTGTGATTTTTCTTCTTTTTGCATTGGGTCTGGAGTTCTCTGCAGCAAAGGTTGGTTTATTTTATTCTTTCTTAATTTAGGATTTGTCAATTAATGTCACAAGCTGTGGTTGATTCTTCATTTTAAACTGCAGCTTCGTGTTGTCCGAGCAGTTGCTATTTTAGGAGGCTTGCTTCAGATATTCTTGTATATGTGCTTGTGTGGAATAACAGCATCGGTATGACTAAAAATTTCATCAGAATTTTCATTTAAGTATTTTATTTGGCAGTACTACATTTCAATAATCACAACTACTTCGCACTCAAAGTTGTCTGCTAAAATCTCCAATCATGCCCCTTGGGAAAATTTTATAATATTAATGATGTCAAGAAAATATAGTTATGTTTCTGAGAGGCTTAACTTTCTCCATGTACAGAAAGCAACATTTATTACGTCGATACCATGTCTATAAATGTCCAGACACTTCCTGAAATCCCTTTTGCTTTGGGGTGGCGGAGTTCAACATGAAGTTGGAATCTAAAAGATAGGACCATATTATTTATCTTTTCCTGTTAAATGGTCTTAAAATTTATCAATTTAAAGGAAACAAACTGATATATGTTTTTTAATGAGAAACATAAATTTATTGAAAATAAAAGGAAAAAAAGTACAACAAAGATAGGTGGACATTGCAGTCCACCAAAAGAAAAGAAAAGAAAAAAGCAAAATTACAAATGGCATACGGCCTTCTAGTCTCTAGATATCGAAAATGTATGAATTCCCTTGGGAGGGAGATGATACCAAAGCCCAAAAAGATGATAAATGACAGATCTTATACCATAATTCTTCTAAATGTTCAGACTTATCCTTGAATGTTTTTGAATTTCTCTCCATCCAAATGACCCAAAGCCTTGCACAAATAATACAAGTCCACACGACATGGGCCTTCATATTAGGACCAAAGCCTCTATAATGAATTGAGTAGTAGCTGGATGCAAGAATCTGGAACTACCCAATCAATCTCTGCTAATTGAAACAATCTATATTAAAGTGTCAAAGCTATGTGACAATGTAGAAACAAATGATCAATACTCTTCTCACTCTTATGCATTATGCCCTATTCTGGAAGTGAAGTGCAAAGCCTTCTCTTTTGAAACATTGGGGTAGGAAGTTTCTTGTGAGCCAAAGTCCATGCAAATATTTTAACTTTAAGAGGACATAGCATCCCAAACGAACTTATGAGTAGGAAACAACGGAATAATTGGATCATCAATAGTCTTATACAAAAAGGATTTGTGAGAGAAATGATAACTTATACATGCAAATTTCTTATTCATGTTAAAATTCTTATAGAGGTCAAAACATAGCCTGCTAAGTAGTCTTTTGTGATTCTTCTGACCAATCATCTATGAAAAGCGAAGTAATGGGAATTTCTTCTGGGTGTCCCATTGGGTTAGCATTCTTTGTACTTGATTATATGTCAAGTTCCTTTCAATAATAGGACAAGTATTTAGAGGATTCTAAACTGATTTTTAACGTACATGCTAATTCTCCAATATTACACGTATTACTGCTCATTAGTAGAATCATCTTCACACAAAATTCTTTTTTGATAACATTCATGCAACCTTTCTGTTAAAACCTATCACCTACTTCACCCACTTAAACCTACTCCACTAAACCTAACCCACTACACCACTACCACCTCACCTACTCCACTAAACCTAACCCACTACACCACTACCACCTCCACTTCACCTACTCCTTACCTACTACACACTCACCCTCTTCTATATATAGGAATCATGAATCATTGTAATATATAGAACAAAATATCAATAAATAATACATCAATTTTAACACTTTCCACTCATGCTTACGTGCATTTATACAGTTTTATTGGAAGCTACTGCTAGCAGACTCGTCAATTTTTATTGCACAAGTTGTCTAGTTGGAGGGAGGGGTTAGCCTACTTTTATAATTGTACCTACAGTAAACTTCACCTTTGATTTTTAGTTTCTCTGTGCTAATTGCATGCATATAACCAACAAGCATCAGTTGTAGAATGTTCCTCTTGTTTAATGTTGCTAGATGAACTTTTGGTCTTTTGACTTTTGAGAAGTGATCATAATACATGTTTAGTCTGTATTAGCTTTATGTTTGTAGTATACAATCTGAGCTCAACAATTTCTTCCGAAGCTGGGGATGTTCATCCTAGGCCCAAAGTTCAGGCCAATGACGGGCTAGATACAGTTTTTTTACTCAGTTTATTATAGCCATGGCGTTCTGATATGTGTAGCTGCATGCTTTATGCAGTTATGTGGTGGTGAAGTGTCTGAAGGGGTATTTATTGGTGCATTCTTGTCTATGTCATCAACAGCAGTTGTACGTATCTTCAGATAACTCTTTATTATTTGCTCTGATTTTTTTCGTTTTTATCCAAAATTATTTTTTTCATTTTTATCCAAAATTATATTTTTTGTTTTTATCCAAAATTATGTAGTTTCATGGTGGTTGTGTTAATGCTATTCTCTAGGGGTGTTAATGGGTTGGTCGACTCGAGTTCACAGATCGGGCCATCACTCAAACCGACCCTTTTGGTTTGAAGATTCCATCAAACAATGTTGACCGATGCCATCCTCGAAATGCTGATGCCATCCTTGAATTGACCGCTTGTTGATTTTGATTTGCCGGTCGGTCTCGGGCGGTTTCACGCAGTGACAACACATGGGAGGAGAGAAAAAAAGTAGAAAAAAAAACCCGCAGTTAGAGATAAATCTAAGAGGAGATATGAGAGTGAAAAAACTCGCGCACGAAGGATATGTCTGCAAGATAGGAGATCTGTGAGAGTGACCATCAATAATAATCATGACACCACAACCATCGCCACCATCAATCGTTGAAGCTAGTGCCACCCTAGATGTGAGAGAGAGAGAGAGAGGGGATTAGAGGGGGTGAGATGTGAAGCGAGCCACCATCCCCACATGTTGTAATGCGATGTTTGGATTTGTGAAGAGATTCAATTTGGTTGTAAGAGAGAGAGAGACATTTGGATTTGTGAGAGAGACTGTTGTCTTTTTGACTTCTAGGTTTTTTTGGAACGGAGGAAAACCTGAGGCGGTGGAAAACCAAAAGCCAAAGAGAGAGAGATTATAGTAAGAAGTTAATAGTATCCCTTCCAATCTCAACTTCCAATACAATAATATAATAATGACATATGACGAATGTTACTTATTTGTCTTTATTTTCTTTTGGGAAAAGCTTCACGTTATCTGAGATTGACTAAGCACATGAACCATCTCATATACATATATATATGTGTATTAAATTCAGTCAGTTTAGTTTTGATAGGTCAGTGTGTTCAAAATTCGATGCTGACCGACCATCTGAAAATATTGGAACTCTAAGAACAGCTGCCGACCATTCAGTAGTGCGAAATCAACAGTTCCACTTTGGGTTAGACCGAGTCAGTCGAGTTAGTTGGTTTTTCCTGATTTATGAACAAACCTACTATTCTACCCTGGAACCTAGCCTACTATCTGAACTTTAAATGTCTTTGTCTTGTTTCTTTTGTTATGGAAACTGGACTAAACATGATGTTGCATATTTTGGTAACATTTTTTTTTATCTTACTTTCTTCTGGATCACTATATTGGTAATCAATCTTAAATTTTAAAGAATGCTTGTAAACCTATGATTTTCTGACTTTGCTGGTAAAATATCTAAAATTTGTTCATCTTTAATCCTATCTTTAGGCTTTATAAAACATTGGCGATATGTGGAACCTGATTCAAAGCATCCTACTCAATACGACAATATATCAGGCCACAATTTCTTTCTAAAAACCAGTAAAGCTTTTTAAGTTGCGTATCATGGAATGTGAAGGATTTAAATGAGCCGGATAAGAGAGGTGTGAAAGCTTTGTTTATAAAGTGGAAAGGGACTTGGTGTGCCTTCAGGAAACAAAAATGCAGGCTATTTTGTCTGAGGTGGTAAGGAGGGTGTGGGGAGGAAGGTGGTGCCAATGGGAAAGCTTGGGGCCAGTTGGAACAATAGTGGGTACCATTGTGCTTTAGGATTCTCGGAAGCTCTCTAAGAAGGCATTGAGTATTGGCTCTTACCCACTCTCCTTTTTTGAGTGCATTGAGGATAAGTTTTGTCGGGTCTTCTCTGGAGTATATGGCATGAACTTGGATACTGTCAAAACGAGGTTGTGGGAGGAATCGTCTGATGTTAGAACTAGTTAGAGATACCTTTGGCGTATATGAGGTGACTTCTTGTATGAGAGAATGGATTGCTTGACAATTAATGGAGGTATACGAGAGTTTGTAAACTTTGTTGCTTGCCCAAAAAGGTTTGTTTTTTGTTGGATCTGCCAATTAAGGGAGAGAAGTTCACATGGTGAAACATGTGTTAAGTTATGTTATACTAGTATGGTTTCTGTGGGTTAGATATTATGTTTTGAGGTGGATAATAGAGGAGTTGAGATGGTATCACTGTCTTATTTTTTATTTGCAGATGATATTATTCTCTATTTTGCAGGGCAAAAGAGGAGTTCAGAATTTTGAGGTGGTGTCTTGCCTTAGGGTCAATCTAACGAAGAGCAAGATCATTCCGTTTGATGAGTAATTGATGTGGTTTCCTTGGCAGGAAACCTGGGATGTCGGGTGGGATTCTTACCTTTGATCTACATGGGGCTTCTGTTGGGATCATCTTTTAGAAATGAGGTAGCTTTTGGGATTGGTGGTGATCTATCATGGTATTAGAGCTCAGATTAGGAGAGATCTTGGATTCAAGTCTTTCCATTCGCATTTGTTTTCCTGTTTGCATTTTGCTTCTTTTCATGTTTGGATGTTTGCATCTTCATGTTCAAGACGGGGTTGTATGTGAGGGAGGGTGTTAGTGAGCTTGATATGCATGGTTGAGTTCTTTGCTTTACAACTTAATCTTTTGGAACTAATGGTGATCTAATAGTATAGGCTCCTATCTTTGAATACCGTTTTTGGATTGGGAGGTAGTATTGGTTGAGGTGCTTGCTGAAGATATTGGAAATGATCTTAAAATGGTTTATTTTCGGTGGTTTCCTGTTATCTGAAATTGGTTGAGGTGAGGGGCATCGTCTTTCCTTGGGAGGGAATTTGGTGATTTGAGGCCCTTCACAAGGTTGGTTTTTTATTTTATTTTTTTGAGGATGATTACTACTGAATCTATTTTGATGACAGATGATCTGAGGAGGTGCCAATTTGTGTTAGGCTGCTGCTGCTGCATGTGCAAGGGTACGATTTTAGTGTGAATCATCTCTTGTTACATTGACTGGCTACTAGAGAAGTGTGGAGTATGGTGTTCTCAGTGTTTGGTGATGCTTGATTTGGTAAAGGAGATGCTTGCATCTTGGAGTAGAGCATGTCGTAGGGCCAGTTGCAATAACTTAATAGGGGTTTGGATGTTGCTCCATTATGTTTGATATGGTGCCTATGGAATGAGAGGAGCAGGAAATCTTTTGAGGGTGTAAAGAGCTTTAGTTTGTGTTTAAGGGCACACTAATTATCTTCATGTGTTTTTGGCTCAAGTAGGCTTTTGTTCTTCGTCAATTTCTTTTGTTGACTTGTTGGTGAGTTGTATATTCCTATGGATATATAGGTGAATCATACATTTCGTTTTTGCTGTATACGTCGGGTGTACAGGGCTGAAACTTCTTTTGTTGGCACTCATTGATGCAATAGTTACATTTGTAAAAAATAAAAGGTGTATTGAATTATCTGTTATCTCAAGAGCTATTAACATTAATTGGTTCCTTTTGGTAACTACAACTAATATTGTAATATTAGTAGTTGCCATGTCATCTCATGCTCCTGTATAACATGGGTGCACATTATAGACATCTTAAGTTTGCATTGACTTGATGCAATTAGAGTGGGTGAACTGTTAGACAGCATCAAAATTCTGGTATCTTACTATGTAGGGTGAAGTTAATGTTTTGAAAATCTTGACTCTAGTAACAGTAATCCTTTTACGGGTGTCAATGATCTTGGTTGCCTCTGTTAATCTTCTTTGAAGGGTTAGATATACTTCTGAGTTTTGGTTTTAACTTTTTTTCCCTTCTTAGTTGTAGAATGGTTAAAGCTTCTTTGTTATATCAGTGTGCTGAAACAATTTTACCTCGTTTTATTTGCAGGTTTTGAAGTTTTTGATGGAAAGAAATAGTATTAATGCCCTTCATGGACAGATTACAATTGGTACCCTTATTTTGCAGGTTTTTATCGTCCTTCCGCTCCGTTATTCTTTTCTGGTTATGATAGCTTTGTGACAAAATTCCTTGTGGCTGTTACTTGGTTTTTTGAAATCAAGAAATACTACAAATTTATCTTGTTTATGATCTCTCTGTCTCTCTCACTCTCTCGTTTTACTTAACAATTCTTTTCTCCTAATTTTTGAGCTGTTTTTGTCTTGCCAGGACTGTGCTGTGGGTTTGCTGTTTGCTCTTCTTCCAGTCCTGGGCGGTACTTCTGGTGTTATCCAAGGAGTCATATCCATGACAAAATCGTAAGTAAAGAATCTGAAGTGCTGACTTTTATGCTAAAATGCAAAGTTAATACATGACGGTCTTCTCCACTTTTCCTTTGAGTCTTTTACTGTTTGACCTAACAAATTAGATCTGTTGTATATGATGGACAATAGAAAGTCTTATCTGGATCAGTGAATTAAAGAACCTGAAGTGCTGACCTTTACGCTGAAAGACAAAGTTAATAGATGATTATTATTTATTTTTTATCAATGAAAGTCAATATTATTAACTTAGAAGCATCAAGGCGACGCTAACAAATACCATATCTAAAAAAAGTTCATAGATGAATTTCTTCTCCACTTACACACACAGATAAACACAAACAAGGAATAAGTATTTTCTCCCCTTGAAAAGCAATCTCCATTGTGGTGAACATTCAGTACATGCTAGCTTCTTGTTTAGAAAATAGTGCAGTCATCTTTAACTTCCTACCTACTGATGTTCAATGCCATTTATGTACAAGTGGAACCAGCTTCAGAGTCTTTTGGCTCTTGTAAATGAAATTTCATGCTGCAACAAACAAATATGATTACTGACAGTCTAATTTACCGCTTCTGGAAGTCTGTTTGGTAGTACAACTGAAGAAATGAAATGGATTCAGGAAAAATAGTGTTTTGTTACAGCATTACCCAAAAGGATACAAGTGTATGGTTCCCATTTCTAGTGTCACAAATTTAGCATATCTGATGTCCTTGGCACACACATGACAGTTTAACTGAGTAGTTTCTCTACATAATGGGTTAGCTTGCAATTTCTTTCCTCCTGCATATCTTTTGTTCCAAATCAATCTATTGTTTTTTTGTCCAGGCTGGTGATTTTGATTACGTTTTTGGCCATTTTGACAATACTATCTCGTACTTGTGTACCTTGGTTTCTCAAGCTGATGATTAGCCTATCATCACAGGTAAATTATCCTGTGATCAGTTGATTGATGTCCACCTGGATGCAGTTTCTATGATTTGATGCGACTTGAATTAAAATCTTTTATTTGCAGACCAATGAACTTTATCAATTGGCAGCAGTGGCCTTCTGTTTACTAGTTGCTTGGGTGAATGCCTAATCCTGATTCCCTTTTCAGCATCATTCTTGCATTTCATTTAATATACTTTTTGTTTTGGCTCTTAAAAGTTTTTATATACTAAAATACTAATTGTTACTCATTCCATCTTTGGACCTTCTACCTGCTCACTATTTCTCCATACACACATCTGCACATGCATGTGTGTTTATCCGTGTTTATAATATGGATTGTTGTCATTTCAGTGCAGTGACAAGCTGGGTTTAAGCCTTGAACTAGGTTCCTTTGCTGCTGGAGTGATGATATCAACAACTGATCTTGCTCAACATACACTTGAACAAGTAAGATGGTGTAGTTGTTTATTCTGTATCAGAAAGAGTCAAAGGTGCCTGATTGCTTTGGCTATATGCTAGTTAAAAGTTCATGAGTTTTGGAGTGGTCTCACACGATTTACAGGTGGAGACTGGAGAGTTAACTTTCGAATTTTTTTTGTACTTGAATGATTGAAAACTTTTGAAATGTCAATATTGTGGTATCATCTTGCTAAAGAGCGACAGTAAAATCTGAAGGTAAATTTAAATTTTTTTATTCTAGAGGCGGAAATGAAAAAAACATAAAAGCTTTAGTACAAATAAGAAGGAATCACACTGCAGAAATTTCTCATGAATTTTACGAGACATAAAAAATTGTGGTCTTGCAGTGATGTGTAAAATGTAAGTTATCATGTAGAAATAGAAATAAATGTTTTATAAGAATGTAGAACTAGAAAGTATATATTCAAATTAACTGCAATTCAACTGTCTTAAAAATTTCTTGATACTTTGTAAATAAAAATTACTTCAATTTGAAATTTCACTTACTCTGGCTTGTGTGAGGTATTTTGGATGTCCTTTAAATTCAATTTCCTCTCAAATATCATTTCATTCCTAGGAAATGAAAAAGAACTAGAAATTATTCTTAGTTTTTGATCCTACCAATATGATGGTTGAATTTTCAATTTGACCTATATGTTTTAGAGGGCATTCAATTTAGGCTTTTACACCTCGAAGCTCAGTTATCCATCATATATCCTCTACACCCATAATAGTTTTTTTTTAAGTCAGATTTTTTAAAGCTCAGTTCACGAGTTGTATCCTCTACACCCATTTATAATAATACAAGGTTAAGATCATTTTCTACAATATTCTTGTATCTGCCCTTACTTTTTTCTATAAGTAAAAATATTTCATAAAAGAAGACATTGAGGGAAACCCAAGTAAAGAAAAGGAAAAAAGAAAAAGAAGGCACAAGATACCTACATCTTGCGTATCAAAAATCCCTATGAAATCTAAAAACTGATCAAGAGAAAGGTTAGACATTCCTGACTCCCAACAATACAAAAAGCTTTTAAAGAAACTTTTCAGCCTAAACAAAGGAACTTCTCTTCCGTCAAAAGAACTGCAAATGTTCTCCCCCAGATGCCCTGCTCGATTGGAATATCTACCTGTGGTGTTCTTTGTGGAAGGAATCTTGGAAAGCAAGCATTGCTAGCAAATTGGACATCTCTCTCTCTCTCTCAAATTGGGATGTGTGTTGAAGCCTTTACTCCTTTCACAAAATTCTGATACTGATTCAAATATTATCAACTCTATGTATTCTGTGGATTTACTGCATTTAGTATATTTGCGTTCTGTGACCTGTACTTATCAAAGCACCATGACAGTGAATGTTTGATTTTAATATGGAGTTTGTTCTTTTTTAACAGGTTGAACCCATTCGCAACTTCTTTGCTGCACTTTTCCTTGCCAGCATTGGGATGCTTATACATGTTCATTTCCTTTGGAATCACATTGATATTTTACTAGCAGCCGTTATATTGGTGATTGTCATAAAGACTCTTGTGGTTGCAACAGTAGTTAAAGGATTTCGATACAATAACAAGACCTCACTACTTGTAAGGATTTACCAACTACTTGCTTGACTATTTTGTGCACCTTGATCTTTGACATCTTTGTTGACAGAGGGACCTTAGTTATTCGATATTTGTAGGTTGGAATGTCTCTGGCACAAATTGGGGAATTTGCTTTTGTTCTCTTAAGTCGTGCTTCCAATGTTCATCTAGTTGAGGTAAAATTTCCATTTTTAATTTGTTAGCATGGTTTTGAATGGTTGTGTCCACTTAAACTGAAGTCTTTTTTTTTTTTTTTTTTCAGACAGAAGTTTGTAATGTCAATATGTGTATTTCAAAGCTATTAAACTGATAAAAATACCATTAGCTTACATGAATTACAATTCTGATAATGCTATTGCATCATCCTTTTTCCATCTATGAACCTACAAGCCTCAATCATAGTTTTGGTGTGTGGTTCATCCTGTGTAATTTCAATTAGAGAATGTAACTTGAATTTTGAAACCATTGCAGGGTAAGTTGTATTTGCTGCTGCTGGGCACAACAGCTCTCAGCCTGGTCAGTAAGCCATTTTTAATTGTGTTGCAAGTGATGCCATTTTAGTTCATAGTTCCCGTTCATAATTCTTTTTGTGATATATATGTATATATTTATTCATTTTTTATGTGAATGACTAGTCGGCACCACATGGTAATAGTTAGAATTTGGTCAATAGCATTGTCTTGGATGCCAATGATAATTTTGGGAGCAGTTTATAAACCATTTTCATGATTTGCCCAGGATTCTGAGCCCATGTTTACATGTAGTATAAGTTAAATATGGGCTCTGAAAAAGATTTTTACTCAAAACTGAAGTGTGGTGTTTTCCTTTTTATGGTTTAGGGATCATCCTGGTGATTTTATATTGAAAAAGACTCAAAACTGATTATCAATGGGTTTGACAAAAAGTGTGAGTTGCAAACGGTGTTGCTTGATTTGAAAATGTGTTGGCGCCTTCAATGGTTAAAGATGTGGCAAGAAGATGACTTGTTCTATTGGTTAGAAATTTATGTAAGACTACTTTCGATGCTACAGTAGGGGTTGCAAACTATAATATTTTGAGGCAACATGTATGTAGTTAAAGAAGCAGCATTAAGAAATTTTAAACAGAGTGTCCAGTGTGTTGCAAGCATGCATTGTTGTCAAATATTTCCCAAATGATTGAAGTCTGAAAAACTCAAGACTTAAAAACTAAATTTAAAAAAATCTGACTTGAGTAGATAATTTGCAGACAGATGGTAATATTTTGTAGGCTAATACATTATGTGAATAGCCTGTGCAGTATATGTCAATGTTGGCGGTCTTATTCATATGTATTTTTTTCTTATGGTTTTTATGTTTTTGTTGTAATTATACCGTCAGAAGTTTTTTCATGGGAAACTAATCAAAGGTTCATCAACTAGAGTTTGTTTAATTAATGTCGAAGTATGTGCCCAAAATAGTTATGCAGATATACTAAAAACTTAGATCAAATTAACTGTGTTCCCGTTAAAAAAATAAAATAAAATAAAATAAAATTTTACTGCCTGTTCAGACTAAATAAATGTTTTTAGTGCTTTATATGTTTTAAGTAGTTTTTTTTTTTTTTTTGGGTTAAACATTTCTTATCTAGAAATTTTTTAATAAAAAAATGTCGAATTACACTCACAATGCAGTTGTGCAGGTGACTACACCTCCTTTCACAAATCGGCATTACTTTTCAAGTTGCTTCCTGCTGTTGTACATCTTGGAGTGTTGTTGCGGTGGTTCTCCCCCGATATCCCAACCGAGGTAATCACCTGCCAGATCTCTGTTTGGTTTGATTTTCATGATCTTTTTTCTAAATCTTTCCAAAAAAAAAAAAAAAAAAAAAACTAGAAACTAATTTGGTATAAAAACATAAAAAGCACTCATCATTTTCACAAGGTTTTATCTTTTTTGGGGGTGGACATAATTTTTTATGTTTATTTTTGTCAAACTAATTTCAATTTTCTTTAGGAAAAAAAAAAAAAAATTCAGAAAATGGAACCAAAGATATATCTGATGTTTTTTTCTTCTTTTTCCCTTCCAACCCTTGCATAATAAAGCGTTTTGAGATATATATTGAATATGATTCTTGTCCCAGATTGGATTTAAAGGAGATATCCTGCGGGCAGACAGTACTAAACGGATTAGCGTGATGGTCCAAGGCGCTCATGATTCATGATAGTAAAATATAGAAACACAAACCAGAAAATGCAAAAAGTTCAGGCTTTACCTGACATGCCTTTCTTATACTCTGGAGGACAGACAGGTGGGCTAAGAGCACGAATGAGGTTGACTGAAAAAACCTCTATATTCTCTGTAACAAGGCTCCTTGGTATGTTGCCTACTCTTCTACTTGCAAATTTCTGATATGCCCAACTCAGATTATGAAATAGAGAGAGCATAGTACATATGATCCATGCACTAACATTTTTGTTATAGGTCATACCGTTACTCCCAAACGTCCTGTTTTGTGTAAATTAGTGTCCATTTTGTAATGTAATTCATTTCATTTTTTTTTCTTTACCTTTAATTTTTTTTTTCCCTTCCCGTTTTTGAGAAATGGAAATGTGGTGCTGTAATCAAATTTTCCCATGTATCAAATTTTTCTAGGGATGCACTTGGTGCTGCAATTCATCATACTGATAATGGGGAAAGTTATGATATAAGCCTTGGGTTGACGAAAATGATGACTAATATTTTGGACTGTCATACGGATATAATGTATGCAGAGAGACATGGGTACTTGGCTAAATGTCTGATTCATCTAAATTCATATTTTTAAATATATTTTACTTTAAATACTAGGGTAAAATAATGTTGATAATATGTCAGGGTATTTTCATGCACAATATGTTTATTTAATGCATAATTTTATGGTTAACTCGAATTGTTTGTAAATATGTTTGCAAGATGAATGTCTTGTTACAATTGTCAAACACATTCTATATCTTTACCAAAGGTAGGTTTTAACAATTGTTTTTTTAGAAGCTTTTTTGTTGACTTTTTGTTTGTTTTTTTGGTTTTCGTTGAAAAGGATTTTTTTTTTTTAAAAGATATATATATATATATATATATATTTTGTTCTTTAATGAATATGTTTTAGATTTTTTACATTAAAAAAAAAAATCTTTAGGGCTTAAAAAGAAAAAAATTAAATACAAATTAAAAAAAAAGTTCAAAAAATACTTCTTGTTTTTAACTGTTGCCAAATAAAACCCAGTGTTGGATATGAGTACTTCATACGTTACATTTAAAAGAGACTTTGTAACCATAGTTCCTGCATTGGTGACTGACAGGGTTTGGATTCTTTCAAATGAGTCATCCAATTTGAGAGAACAGTTTAGATTTGGTTGGTTTGTTTTGGGACTGACCTCGATAACTTGGACTGTTTCCTTTGTAGAATTTGTTAAGTAAAATGTTTATATATTAAAAAAAAAAATGTTCGGACATTGATAGTTATATATTTAAATTATATTTATATTATAATAAATAAATGGTCTATTCTTGAAAATATATTTGTGGTTTATTTTTTGAGATGAATGAGATTTAAACATATAATTATCGATATCAGATTATTCTATTTTTTAAATGAATATTTTTTTTGTCTATAAAATTTTTAACTGTATAATTGATTTAGAGCACCATATAAGTAATACCACGGGTCCGAAATTTTTTTTTTTTTTTTTTTTTGAGGATACGAAATTGTTGTAAACTAGGCATGCTTGGTAGTTCAAATGTCACTGTTTATTAAATGTGACAAGTCGTTTGTGCTCAGATTATTGCAACATGCAAGTTTGTCTTATCCATTAATCTTTCATTTTGCAAAAGAAAAATATGTTACGTCAGGATGATTTCTATATAGAATTTTGTATTTTCTGAATTATTTTCAATTTCAAAAGCAAAATTGGATAAAACCCAATTGTTCTCTTAAAGTTGAAAGGTTTAGATCGTGCCAACTAAAAAATAATCACTCATTATCTCCAATATTAACACCCTTCCTTTCCTTCTTATGACAAAATGAACTTCCTCTTTATCATCGAAGTAACAAAATCTTGAAGAATGTAAATCATCGACATTTGGTATCATCATTCAAAAACAAAACATCAAATAGGAGGAGTGAACCTCATTATACAAATGTTGTAGTTACCGAATGTTTCAAATCTAATAATTATGTTTGCATAGTGAAGTTCACTAATCTTGTTTGGTATTCTATTATTGAATGTGATAGCACGTGTATTAACATGCGTATTGAAGTTTTTCTTGAGATCCAAACCTTTTATTCTATAATGGATGATTTAACTTTCTTCAAATGGGTGGGTTTGGGATTGATTGTGGAACCAAGATAACCCAGAATGAGCAGGAAGATATGCTAGCCAGAATAGTAGCTCTGGAGTAGATTCTTCAACTTATCTTTTTGTTTTTTACAAAAATAAATAAGTAAAATTAAAAACTCATGTGTTTATAAACATCTTCACTTTCCAGATTATTTTTGTCCTAAATTTCAAAACATGAATGGAGTAAAAGAGAACAAAAAAGAAGATGCCCACGGCTGCTCCAAAAAAAAAAAAAAAAAAAAAAAAAAAAAAAGATGCCCACAGAGAGTGGTCCTAAACTCTGCCAACATTTTCCCCCGCAAAATTGCAGTGCAGTAACTGCACATGTTGTTTCATAGCTTGGGAACAAGTTTGCATGTTCATACGCGGCGTGGATTATGAATTTAGATAGATATTTGAAAATAGAAAGAAAATTAAAAAAAATTATATTTCATTCATATTTTACTCACTTTTTCTCTTTTGCAAATTTCTATACAAATTTATGATTCAAACACAACCTTAATATAAGAATAGTAGTTGAAAGCTTAGTATGTGTCACTTTCTTAATCACATGTTTCATATTTTCTCCTCGAGAAGTCTTGTGATCCCCGTTGTGGTCCTTCACTGGTCCAAGCTACAAAGAGACAAAAAGGATGACTTGTTGAAATCGGGATTATATATTAGATCGTTGGTGGAGTATACATGAACAAATTGTAGAATCTGATTAAGGATCATAATATCTTACCAAAAAATAAAAATTACATGATAATTTATTTGATTAAACACGAAATTATCCTAAATTATACTAAAACGAAGTGGAGATATCTTGAAGTTTTAGTGAATTCCGGAGTGGCTCATTGTCGTAGATTCGACATCGTCGTTGTAGATTCAACGTTGAACAAGACAATTCCGAGGTGAAAACGGTGGTGGAAGAGGCATATTGGAGTCGGTTCAATTCGGGTGTGGATTGGCTAGGTAATTGAGAGTACACTTGTGTAATTTCTTTTTGTCTTCTTAGTGGATTGTTTTGTGACTTTTGCTCGTGATTTTTTTTTAATCACAATTGGAGGCGCTTCAATTGTGATTTTTTCATGTAAAATCATTCTGTCAATTTGTCTTTGATTGTTTGATTGAGATTACTATTTATTGGTTAAAATTGATACATAATCGCAAATCAATATCTTGGAAATTTTAGATTTTTCACAATAAATAACCAAATAAGTTTAAGAACCGACTGACCGAAGTGAATGTAATTATTGACTTTTTGTCCTTGAATATGGCGGTGTAGGTCGCTTGCACGGGGGTATCACCTGGCGAAACACTGTGAGTAATCTCATTGTAAAAATATTTTCGTATATGAATTACTTTGAAATGACTTTTTAATTTGTGAAACCTATATTATGTTATGTCATGCTTGATACGATAAGTGTTTGATTAAGAATGTTAGAACCAGTAAGTTATGCTTTGAAACTCTAAATTGTGAATAATACGATATGTTCTTGGAAATAAGATTTTGATAAGAATGAATATGATACCCATGAGCACATGCTTGATTATTTGGAAATCTCCGTTATGATTATGTCAATCCATGGTGGTCGTTATGTCTACATCATCCCATTGTGGTTGTTTTGTCTAAGTTGATCAATTATGGTTGTCGATCCATTGCGATCGTTATGTATATGTCGATCCGTAGTGGTCGTTATGCCTATGTCCTCGATCCATTGTGGTCATTTTGCTTATAATCTGTTCAGTATTACTAGTTATGCAACAAAATGTAAGTAACTTTGAACGGTTTGAAGACCATAATTAATAAATGCTTCGTTTCATCGTGTACGTTTGGTATGATACTTTGTCAGGGTTTAATACTGCTGTATTAGAATGTACTGTGCTATGTGAATTTACTGCGCTATATGTTAAATACTAAAATGATAAAAGGTTTGTTGAAGGTTTGAGAAACTTTATTTATTATACAAGTATCCGGACACATTGTTTGATTTTATAAGTTATGGATCTCGTTAATTTAACCTCTTTATATTGAGATTTTTACTGGACTTTAGTTCACTGTTTGTTTATATATATATATGTAGGTGATCACGTACCAAATCGAACTTAGTGGCATCGACCGAACCCTGTTTTGTCAAGCCAACCACTGTGCCTCACTGCGAGATTCTGAACTGTCACATGTCAAGGCTTATTGGGTGGCTCGAACTTACCATTTTGAAATTGTGATTAAGTGACAAGAATGTTTTATGATCTTTGTTCAAACTATTTTTTTTTTTTGCAATGAGATTTAATTCCCTAACTTATGTTTTATTTTTATATATACGTGTGACATGGACTTAGGTGTGTGAATATATATATATATATATATATATGAAGGTTTGTTTGTTCATTTAAATCCTCACAGCTTATTGGACAAAATATATTATTGATTAGCTTCCGCTAGCCCTAATTGTTGTGTAATTGTCATTATTGTTAAGCAGGCCTTTGGTAATCATGGATTACTGGCCGGTTACGACGCTAAACTTATAGAGGCGGGTTTGGATCGTAACACCATCACCATTTGGTTTTGTGGTTACCTTCAAAGCATGTTATTAAGAACATATGAGAGTTGTTAAACCTTTTTTCAAATGATAAATGGTTTTGCTGTTATATGTATTCATTGAAATATCATTTTATAGCCACTAATGGCTAGTTAAAATGCCAAACTAATTTCATAGTAATTCAACTCTTTGGATTTGGTTCGAAGAGATGTCGTGAAGCTAATCTAGATGCATCTATAATGTAATAATGTTTATGAATAAATTTGAAAAAAAAAAATTCACTAAAGACTAAAAAAAAAAAATTCAATTTTTTTGTTTTCTATTTTTTATTTTTTGCATCTTTAATGAATTTTTTACATCATACATGAAGCTGATGTGTTCGTGATGTGGCAGATTCTATTAGTTTTTTGGATGGAAGTTAGTCTAGGAATAAAATAGGAAAGATTGCAAACATGAAGGGACAAAGTGGAAAGAGTTGCAAATATTAAGGGACAAAGTGAAAAAAAATCAAACTTAAAGGGTCAAAGTGAGAAGGATTGCAAACATGAAGGGCCAAAGTGAGAAAGATCAAACTTAAAGAGCCAAAGTAGGAAATGGATGAAACTTTAAGGGGAAAAGTGTAATTTACTCCAAAAAAAAAAAAGAAAAAGAAAAAAAAAAGATGTACTATCATGACTAGCTATTGGGGAAGTACCAAACTGGAAGCTTTTACAAAGTTTATGCTTCAAGGATCAAGCACCATTTCTCCTCAAAATCCTTATCCTAATTCTAATGAAAATCT